CCGCCACGTCCCTGACTCTCGGGTGATCTTTCTTGTATCAATAAATACAGCCTAGGTTGCTGAGCGCGCTTTGAAATCTGCGTCCTGAAGGTGGGGGCAGGGCTACCGCAGGGCAGGAGCCAATCAAATGTATGGGCTTGTTTGTCGGTGCGGAGCGCTCTTCGCCAAGGAGACTTGACGGTCATGTCGACCAATCGACGGCTGCATCTGGTAGCATCAGGGGCGGGCCAACTTATGATTGGTTCAGATCTGTGATAAGAGGCGGTTGCTAGGGGACACCACGAGCCGAACGCCTAACATTCGCTGTGAAAAGGACGTCTCAGCCAATCACCTGTCGTTACAGGCCAGGTGGTCGTACCAACTAATTTGGAACCAATCTGTGGTCGAGGAAGGGACAAGAGGAAGGGGGGCATCCTCTGGCCAATCGGTAGTGCAAAGAGGCGGGCGTGCCAGTCCCTGGACAGCTACGACGCCATGAATATCTTGCCCAAGAAGAGCTGGCACGTCGGGAACAAGGACAATGTCGCCCGCGTGCGGCGTGACGAGGCCCAGGCCCAGGAGGAGGAGAAAGAGCGTGAGCGGAGGGTGCTGTTCGCTCAGCAAGAGGTAAGCTCGGAGGCCGGCCAGGCGGACCTCCGGAGCCCAACGCGCACGCGCCGCGGTTGGGGGCCGAAAGCTGAGGCGTTGCACAGTCTCAGTGTGCCCCGTGTGAAATTCGGGACCAGTCGCCGATCCCGTTTTCGAGGACGTTGCCCTGCAAACCTTGTGCCCACTTCCACGAAACCTCCCTTGATCTCGCCTTCGTCTTAGTTTCCCCCCACTGATGTATTTCACATAGCTGGAACAGTGTCTAGCACAAAAGAGAAGCTTAAAAACATTTAATGAATACATGAGCACTTGGACAGTTCAAGGAAATTCGGATCACTTTTTAGTTTGCCTGCACAACCTATTTATTGAGCACCTATTGTATGCTAACTACATGCAGAGCGCCTGACTTGCGGAATCCCCAATAGGCACTGTTCGTTCTTAGAGGGGCACTGTCATCGCTGTTGCACGAAGTGAGGTGGCTTCCGTGAGGGGAAGGAACATTTAAGGAGAGGGGGACAGCCAGGCTCCACGCCATCCGGCGAGCCCTTTCCTGCACCGCCCCCTAGACACATACACACAAACACGGGCTTTCTGTATGGCTCCTTAAATCTGTTTGGTGTACACCCAACTTTCAGTTCCTTAGCTAGTCTGATCCTCCACAGTGGGTGGGAGGTAGTCTGGGTTTTTAGAATCTCAATAGGCTGCTGAGCACTGTTTGAAATCCGCGTCCTGAAGGCGGGGGACAGGGCTTCAGCAGTCGACTTGGGGTAGTGACTTGGAGCCATCCATGGCTAGAATTCAGATGGTCTGGCCTAATGCAGTTTGGTCTACCTTTATGGCTATTTTAATTGTCTCACTTGAGGTTAGGGACCCCTTTGGTTTAGGCCAGGGACCTCCTCCCAGCCATCCTTGATGATCCGTGGTTTACTATTTGAAAGGCAATTTACAAAACCCAGGCGTTGCCTCATCTCCCTACCCTCACCCCCAGCTAGGACAGGTGCCTCTTTTAGGCGTCTAGTGCTCTCTTTCTTATAAACCCAGCACCCTGGACTGCCATTTTCTGTGGTGGGCACCAGACTCACACTTCTTGAATTACCTCTAGGTTCTGAATGCCCTGCCTATAACTTTCTCCC